ACAACTATTCTTTATGTAACCTGGTTTTCAAATCTTTAATATACTAGATGCCAGGATTTGGAAGCATCTGAGTTTCTCAATACCCCTGGTTAAAGTATGCCTATCCAAAGTATATAAACTAAGCCATGCTTTATTTGGCCAATATACACAGAAAGAAGCTATAGCATCCCTTTACCCGAGCACCTCATAAATTTGAATCAATGCCATTATGAACTGTCTTGAGATCTTTTAGCATCTAACTATCACAGCAGTTCTTACTAAGTCTTTTTTACTCATGCAAACTGCTGCCAGGCCAGATTCTCAACAGTTTCAATTTCTTTTAAAAACTTAACAAATTTACATTAATGTCTGTTTCTACTTATCTTGTTTATTTCTGTTGCAGTTTTTAGCTTTCAAATATATTTCTGTACACAATGTATTTGTCATTCTTCCAGTATTAGGTCTTTACGTTAAGCATGTTATTTTCCCTCCATCTAAATCACTGAGTAAATAAATGTTCAATAGACTGAGGCCAAAGAAAGTATTCTTCTTTCTTGAGGGAACTATAATTGTTATGTTCATACTTCAAAACCAGTTTCTCCCTCCTGGATATCCCCCAGGTTTTTATGGCACATCTAAGATTGGTTAGCTGTTTATCAGGACTATAAGACTTCTAGAGTTCAAAGGGACTTTCCAGGGTCATAGTCTTGCCCAATTCTCTCATTTACAAAAAGGAATAGGAAAAGTTTAGTTATATACCCTTGGCCACATGACTAATAATTGGTGTATCTGGAGGCAGAACTAAGGAATTCTAAATACAAATATATAGTGTTCTTCCCATTACAGAGTTTTATTTAATTTGTTTGTATTTTCTGTTCATTTTTATCTACATAAAATAGAGAAATTCGTGTTTTTTATTATTCTGCTTGATCTAAACTATTGTGCACTTTTTGTTTTCAAGGGTATTTTCACTGCCACACAAGGAGCACATATACTATTTCCTCAAATTTTTAAGCCCATTTAGGGAATAGGTGGGTGAATAGCCTATATCTACTCTGACAAGCTGGAAAGCAAGATAAATGTAAATTCTGGCTTGCTGCTAGTGAGGAAAGGAGTATTTTGGTTACAAATCTCAAATCCTGACCCTAAACCTACAAATGTATTTAGGATTAACTATCAACTTTCTAAGACTCAAGAGAGAATGATGATTTTATCATTGTATTGACAGTATATACTGAATCATTATATAAATGATACATTATATTCATTTTATACTATTTCTGGTTGATTTATAGTCAACATCAATTATGACCAGACTTAGCTACAAAATCCACTATATAATTAATAAGTAACCACCACCATCTACCTCTCCACCAGAATGTAAATTCTGTGAGAGTATTAGTTTTATATTCTATTATTTTTGCCTTGCTTGCAGTAGGCTCTCAATAAAAATATGCTGATAAACAAATAAATGAATAAGTTAAAGAATAAACTGTAAAAGGAACACTGACCAAAAAAGCAGACCTAAAAATTTTTATAACTTCCCAAAAAGCAAACAAAAGAGATATATCTCTTGGCCACTAAAGTTAACTAAATAATAAAAGGAGTCTTAATATTACAATTACAATATTCTTTTTCAACGAAGTGCTTGCTCCTTTTCCATTTTGCCCCTTACCTTGAAATTTCGACAGGTTACACTTCGTTTCCTTACACTCCCTATGTATGAGACTTGTACAACAATTCTCTGTTCATTTTTCTAGAAATATCAAGTAAATGTTCAGAGACCAAATCAATTTCATTGTCATAAGATTATAAAAAGGCCATCACTAGATAGAAAGATTAGGCTCTTATGAGTATTAGTATTACTTTATGATCAGAACTTAAAAACAAGCCAAATAATTTCCTATTTTCCGCAGTTTTTATTTTCTTTGCAAGCAGTTGTTTTCAGAACTCATTTCAAACTATAAAATTTCACATTTACTGAAACAGTAACTTCTAACAATCCTACATGGATTAAATCAAAACATTCCATTTTACTGTGCTTTTATTAAATGTTCTTGTCTACATTGTTCCTCTACAATCTAAGTAAAAGGTACTAAAACAATACTGTGTTAATTCAAATGTTGAGGATCATGTGAAAATCATGTTGACAATAAAGCAACTTGCTTACCCAATCCTTTTTTCTATGTTTTTAATTTATTTAATTCACTTCAAATGTCTCGCTAAGTTCAAAGTTACTGAATTAGAACTGCATCAAACTCAAATCATTTATTTATATCCTTTTGCTATCTGTTAAAGAGTGATACAATATTTTAAAACTACATTACTTATAAAGTCAAAACTAGTATTATTTATCACCAATCATTTAGCTTATGTTTAATAAACCACATAAGCACCAGCCCATATAAACCCCCTCCCATAGGTTCTCTCCATACAGTTTTCCTTTAAATTACAAAAGTGAAAAATCTAATTTGAAAACTACAAGAAAACTATGGATTTAATAAACAGATTAACTTACTGAAAAAATCTTTAAAGGCGTTTAACCAATCCATTTAGAATAAAAATCCCGTGTTTTCTTTTGTCAGTTACAGCTCAGGATAATTCTGAGTGAGCTTCCTGGTCTGTTCTGCAACACTGAAACTTCCCACACCCAATCCATGTGACTTGGCCCACACCCAGGCAATAGAAAGTTTTTCTAAGGCTCCTCTCTTTCCAAACATTTCCCCCCCCTGAATTATAACAGAACCTGTAAAGCAAGTATATCATGATGCCCACAAATGTGCCCTTATTATTCAGAGTTATTTTAGAAGAAGCTTTAAGTCATATATATTTTCAACAGTTGAAAATATATTCATATATTCATTTTTTCCTGTGTTTTCTTAACTTTCAAACAATGTCTCTCTATCAGCCCGATCATTGTGAAACAAATTAATTATATGGGACATTTAAGTTACCAATAAGGAGTTCAGAAATTCTGAGAAAGGAGAGAAGGCTGTCTGACGCAACCCCTGAATTTACATCACTATCCAAGGCTAACTACAGATCACTAACTTAAAATGAATAATAAAAAAAATGTATCTAATTGGACTTTAAAATTTATATGCAGTAATATCTAAAATTGGGAAACTTATCCTCTTTGCTCTATGGTATTAGTTTTTTCACTACCTTTTGTTAATTACCATCACATTTGCTCTAGTCGCAGGATACCACCATTCTTTAAAATAATCAACATGCTTTAAATCAGTGGTTCTCAACCTTCTGGCCCTTTAAATACAGTTCCTCATGTTGTGACCCAACTATAAAATTATTTTCGTTGCTACTTCATAACTGTAATGTTGCTACTGTTATGAATCGTAATGTAAATATCTGATATGCAGGATGGTCTTAGGCGACCCCTGTGAAAGGGTTGTTTGACCGCCAAAGGGGTCGTGCCCCACAGGTTGAGAACAGCTGCTTTAAATAAATGTCCAGTATTCACAAAATAATAAATATTCCTGGTTCTAACTCTGATCTCTTTTAGCTACTCAAGGAAAATCTCTTTCTGGTTTGTCTTTCAATAAAAAACTAATAATGGTTTTATATGCAAAACCTTAAAAATCTCAAAAAGGTAACCTCACTACAGCAGTTAAATGTCATGGTGAAAATTCAGATTAATAACTTGTTATTAAGTTACATTTAGAATACTGAATTTTTAGTTTAGAAACCAATTTTCTAATACTTTATATCTTACTTTGAATTGTGCAATAAATTTTTGCTATTTTATAATGGTTAAAAACAAAAAAAGATTTGTCTTCTATTGCTGATTTAGTCTAGAATAACAATAAATAAGAAATAAAAAATAATATAAAGTAGTTAATCAATAATATTTTATATTTGTCAGTTGTGCCATATTACTTTCAAACTTTCACAAGGAAAATTTTACTTTCTCTTCTACATATATACAAAGAATCCTTAAGTAATAGAATGTCTGTATGTTTGCCTGAATACAAAAAATGAAATTCTGTCCCTCCCAATTCCTTCCTGTCAGCCAAGGAGACTTTAATTTAAAAAAAAAAAAAAAGAGGCCACTCCTCATCTGGACATATTTCCTTCCTATCAGCTCAGCCAAGGCAAGTGTGAAAGCAGGTTCCACTATCTCTGGCCCTAATGAGGGCCAGTAAAAACACACAAACTTTACAGCTAGAGCAGTGGTTCTCAACCTTCTGGCCCTTTAAATACAGTTCCTCATGTTGTGACCCAACTATAAAATTATTTTCGTTGCTACTTCATAACTGTAATGTTGCTACTGTTATGAATCGTAATGTAAATATCTGATATGCAGGATGGTCTTAAGCGACCCCTGTGAAAGGGTCGTTCAACCACCAAAGGGGTCGCGACCCACAGGTTGAGAACCTCTGAGCTAGAGGAAGAAAGAATGGGGGAAAAAGGAGAAACAAAATAAAAAAGATCAGCCTTATAGAGGCTAATCTACAGTAATGAATCTAATTTACTTTTATACAGTAATGATTCACAATTTAAAATTCTTTTATCAACTATAAGAATAAAATAATGGTTTGCTTTTAAAAGTTCAAAGTGTAAACCATTAGATATTTAAAATATAGCAATGTGCCATGCAAAATAAACTGCCTTAATTTCAAGGTGGTAATTCTGCATCTTACTCATTTATCCCTGTCTCATTTAGATGCAGAATTTGCCTAACTCCATCAGGTACTCAGAGTTCAAGAAGCCCCTGCTAGATCAGTCAGTTCTGCTCCTTAGCACCACCCTGGCTTGATTTTTGAACCCCGGCCAGACCCACCAGAGCTAGATTCATAGAAACTTCCCACTAACACTTATGACGTCCACTGGTCTCCTGATGTGAACACCTACTATGAGCCAAACTTACCTTGTCTAGCTGAAATTCCAGTTCAGCCCTTTTCTAGTCAGATCTGCCCACTGCTGCCAAAATTATGTAAAGAACCAAGCTCTAACATCTACTTAAAAGAAAGTATTGTTGCTGTTTTAATACAAGAATAACTTACCTAATGTATCCTTTAGGTTTTTTACAATAGATGCTTTCCGAGCACTGTTTTTCCTTTCCACATAGTTAGAAGGCACAAAACCTGTTTTATTCACAGAATTTCGAACTCGCCACCAAGACTTAGAATCATCTAGAAGCCATAATCTCTCATTCTTCTTGATGTCCAGCTCTTGTTCTTGTTGGGCCACATAATCAAATTTGGCTACTACAACCACTTCCTCTGCCATCTTTCAGCAGCTTCAGCACTGTAACCACATAGAAAACATTTTTAAGATGTAAATAATAGCAGTCTACATACTTTTCAAAAGAGATACACCTAAAAAACCTAAGAGCACTGAAAGGTTAAAAGTAAAAATATGAAAAAATAAATACACCAAGCAAATACAAATCAAAACACAACTGGTGTAGCTATATTAATAACACACTAAAAGACTTTGAGACAAAACCATTACTAATGATAAAGAAGTTTACTATACTGCTGGAGTCCAACCCCAGCAGATCCAGGGGTCCCCAAAGATGTGGACGGAGTCGGCGAAGAAGGAATGACACGAAGACAGCCTTCAGTTGATCAGCAGCCTAGTCAGGACCTCTAGCCAGGATCTCTAGCCAAAGTTCTGGTTAGGAACTCCAGCCAAGCTCTGGTTAAGATCTGATCAGGATCTGATGTTTATTGTCTTGTTACATCTGTATTTATACCAGTCGATTTTAATCCTGTCAATTTCTATTACAAAGGTTAGGGCGTTTCTTATCTCCATTCCAGGGAGTAAAGATTATGTAGCTTAACTACCTGCCTGGCACTTAATTAAGGGGTTGTATCCCCTCCCTAACCTCTGGGAAAAATCCCCACCTGGGGAAACAACCTTTCTCAGAGAGGTGACCTTGGTTAAAACACATGGCACTAAGGAGAGCAAACATATTAAGAACAATATGCTATATATGCCAGGTCCCTTGAAACATATGCTGTGCAGATGTTTCTTTCCTGCAGCGACTGTGTCAAGCAGCAAGGATGGACCGGCTTCCGGCACTATACAGTAATAAAAAGTCTATAACCTCTATACTTATGATTGACATAGCTCCAAAATAGATTACTAGAACCACAAAGAAAAATAGACATCTATGGTCACAGAGGACAATTTTTAACAACATATTTATCTCAGTTAATAAAAAAAGGAGACAAAAAAATTAGTAAAACTAGAACAGAACTGATATCATAACCATGTAGTTTGAACTAATCTATAATAATCTATTATAATAATAGAGATATATGCAAAGTGTCTGGGACACTGTCACAGTAATAACAATGACCAAACAGCAGGCTGTGTGGGGTGACAAGGCTGGCAGGG